TATTGATGAAGACGCGCTCAAAGGAAGACTCTCCATATTTGATTTGTGCGGCTCTGGCTGGACGGTTGCGTCGCGGCCTCGGAAACTATGTGGGCGAACGACTCGAGATTTATATCGGCTCCAAGGTTTTGGGCCTGTTTACAAAAATGACCAATGCTGTTCATGTTCTTTACGATTTGCGATATAAATTTAACCGGAAGCGATAGATCCAACTCACGGAGTCATCGTAACGAATAAGAATGGGAACCGCACTTCAGGGGTTGATTCAGTATTAAGAGCAGTCACAGAAATCCTATAGTCAGCATGATTGACATCGTGGATACTGTCGAAACATTTCCTATTAGAGTGTCCATTAAGCGTACATCTAGACGCTGAGAATTATGTAAATTTTAGTCTGATAAATATCAACTTGTCGTGTACGTGGCTTTTACACTGTTAAACATTTACGTACTGTTGGCGAAACTCCCAACGGTGAGTGACTCCCAAAATCGATGTTGACAACCAACCGCCACAAATCTATCTCTATTGCTAGCGAACTGTTCCTCGGTATCAGGGAAATATTGATCCTTCTGACTTAATACATCATTATGCCGCCGCCAAACAAAAATACGCCGACTGTGAGGAGGATACTTAAGGAGGCGAAGGAGCTATCTGAACCGGACAAGGACATACATGCAGCGCCGACCGAAGTATGCAATATCCCACGCAACGGAGATTGATGATATGGTACTCTAACAAAATTCATAGGATAATTTGTTTGAATGGCATTTTATAATACGTGGCCCACCGTCAAGCCCTTACGAAGAAGGCTACTATCACGGACGGATAAACCTCCCTAGCAATTACCCATTAGCACCACCTAGCTTCAGGTTTCTACAAGATTCTGGGAGATTTGATGTCAACAAGGAAATTTGTTTGTCGATCAGTAACTTCCATGTCGAGGAGTGGCTGCCTGCGTGGGGTAAGCTATTCTTGTCACCCACACAGAGTTATGGTTACTGACCAACGGTTACCTAGGTATACGCACGGCGTTGGTCGCACTACGTTCTTTCATGGCAACAGAAGCAAATGGAGCAGTTGGAAGTATCGACGGTGTACCGGATGAGACGAAGCGGGAAATCGCTCGCAAGAGTAGGGAGTTTAAATGTTCAACATGCGGTGGCCAACGAAACTACGAATTACTGTACGCAACGACTGTAGGTGGTAGTATCAACGAACCTCAACTCGAATCAAGTGTTGTATATAAAGCTGCGGAACAAGAGTCGGGCAATAACTCTGGCGATAAATTGCAAAGAGAAGCACCGAAACACACCGGGTCGTCGATAGAGAATGGCTCGGGCCGCGATGTTTCCAATCAGCAGATAGAGCAGATGTCGTATCGAGGAATATGTAGAAATAAGTTAACGGTGTTTGTATCTGTCTTAGTAGCGATATGGGCCATTAGGTTTTTGTTGTAACGTGTGTGATAATTTGGGTTATACAAATGGAGCGGAATGCTACACCGGGGTCTAGGGTTGCTTATAAGTATTGTTACAATTGCATAGGATTATTATTGCGGCTGTCAGTACCATCGGATTTACTAAATTATATAGGGGAATATTATGATACATATACTTTAGCTATTCATTCATAAGCTGCAACGCTGATATCATTGTACGGCGTTATTGGGAGTGTGAGCTGTCTCTGCTTAACTTAACACTTTATGAAATTAAAGTTTAAGCCCGGTGCAAGCACGATTCAGGTACGGAAAAACAACTAAAAACATAAGCTCGGTCTTACGTTGCTAGCACCGTAATGCGCATATCGCGTACTAGCCTGTTATCATCAGATCCTGGCCAGCCCGATTTCTTTTACTCAGAAATTTTTTTATTGGGTAAGCAAGAGTCGTCCGTTATTTGATATGATGGTTTCATTAGACGTGACAAATTTTTGGTCTCCAAGCAATTGGTATCAATGTTGCGGTTTCCATTATTAACCAATAAAACAGATTGATAGACAGTTAACCGAGTATGGCCCCGTTTGATTTTTTGAGAAAGAAAAACGGTGGGACTGCGGCGGAAAACGGTGATACGGTCAGTGTCATTTCGTCAAGGACCAACGGCAGGTTAAGCACATATGATAAGAATCAGTCGTATGAATTATCGCGAATGCCGACTGAAAGTAGCTACTCTGGATCAAATCTAGCAGTATACTCAGACCCATACGCGGACAATGTTCCTCTCACCGACCGCCATGCGTCGCAGTCCTATGCATACAATCCGTGGAATCTCCAGAGCAATCAACAGACTCCGTCAGACATGCCACCACCTGGCTTTGTGCCTAATTCAGACCGACTTGCTACGAACATTCCGCCAATGGACCAGCAAAAGAAGAGACAGATAATTCCATGGTTCACTGTGACCGTTAGCGTGATCCAAGTCATTGTCTTCGTCTCTGAACTAATTGTTATGCACAAGTACACCGGAAGCATAATCGCTACTAAGCCGACCTTTAATCCTATGATAGGACCTTCTACATATCTTCTAATCCACATGGGCGGCAGATTTACACCATGCATGCACTATATATCTGGAGTGACAGACGTCAAGACCAAAAATTTTCCTTGCGCAAGTTCGACAACGGTTGCAACAAATGTTTGCACCCTATCCGAATTATGTGGCATGGGCGGCGTGTCAGATCATCCTAACCAGGTATTGACGATCTCTATGTGGTGTGGAAGCGATCTGGAGTTATTGCTGACATTAGTAATACGATAGTGGTGGCGCTTCATTACTCCAATGTTCCTACACGCAGGATTCATACACATTATTGCGAACATGCTTTTGCAGCTCCAACTAGGTGGCTCAATGGAAAGGTACTATAATTAGTTTTGTGAAGATGATCGGAACTGACACAGGTCTCAGAGACATCGGGACGTTGAAGTTCGCTTCCGTGTACGTCGCATCTGGTATCTGCGGATTTTTGCTCGGCGGAAATTTTGCACCAGATGGTATTGTTAGCACGTAAGTAGATCCATCAAACTAGACTTATAAAATATGTAGTAATGATATTTTAGAGGCGCGTCTGGTGCTCTTTTCGGAATTATTGCTTTGAGGATATTAGACTTGCTTCTGAACTGGCAACTTTATGAGCGTCCAAAGCGTGCGTTGATGTCTCATCTCATCGAAATAGTGATCGCATTTGCTCTAGGGCTATTACCAGGTATCGATAATTTTGCCCATATCGGCGGCTTTGCCATGGGTATTCTTCTTGGTCTCGTCCTCCTTCGAAGCCCACTAAAGTTGCGGGAACGTACTGGCCAACCTATAGCCAATGATTATTATCCGAAATCGAAAACTCTGAAGGACAGGTTCCAAAATCTTAAAGCTGTGTTTTCAGGAAGACATCCTGCGTGGTATTTATGGGTTATCGTCCGCCTTGTTATGTTAGTGCTGGCAGCAACCTTCGTTATCGTCTTAATTCGGCTATTTAATAAAGGCGGCGGCCATTGTGGCTGGTGCAAATATCTAAGCTGCCTGGTAAGTTGTTTTTTGTTTGGCAAGGCGATATGTTCTGTACTAACGTGCATAATAGCCCGTCAAGGGGTGGTGCGATGCATACTTGCCTTAGTTTCATGACGTGTAGAATCATATGTTTGTAGATTGGAGACATTGGCGTTGGTCGGACTTGACCTTGAAACCAGGGCAATTTAGAAATGAATTTTTAATAAATTATACGACCCACCATTGAGACATAAAGATAACTATCCACCTTCTGCCTGTTACTCAACCCGCCTGTTTCAATAATAATTGCTTCTCTACTATGTCTATATTTTCATCTCTTTGTGACCCTTTTCTTTAATGACAATGTTAGAACTTATTAAAAAGTGTCGTCTGACACAAAACTTGAACATGAAAAAATGTGAAGATCTAATTACAACATGGATGAGTCCAAGTCGGCAAGAACAAAGCTCTTGGGCCCACTAGCAGTTCGCGACGCGTCGTCAGCAGCACGGGAGCCTTTACAGACTCATAAGGAAAGTCTTAGGTTTTGACCTCGGGGATTCTGTCTTCCCCCTGATCTCGCCATTTGTTCGTAATGTTCAAAATCCGGGGTTTAATAAAGTGTCATCCGAAAAAAAAATATATTTAGCGATACTTGGTTTCGATCCAAGGACATCAGGGTTATGAGCCCTGCGCGCTTCCGCTGCGCCACATCGCTTCTTCAATACATTTTACTATTAGAAAGATCAGTTAAGGCAAAGGACAAACCCTAACCCGTAAGCTTGACCGTAACGTGATTCCTTATCCCTGCGTGTCGCTGCTTCGAACCTCCAAGTAATGAATTAATTGAGCATTTGCTTACACTTAATTGCATCATTTACATTTTCTTGTTGACGTATTCCAATTTCCAAGACTGCGTTCAACACATGGATATTACTAATTGATCATTTGGATATTAGCAGCAGTGTTGTCAAATACTGTTGCGTTATGAATTCTTCAGCAGACCGTCAGTTGAAAACCCTTTGGAAACATACGCCGTAATCTAAAAGACCGATTTTGCCCTTCAAAACTATCAACTACGCGACGCGATTGATGCTAAAAAGCTCGTCCAGAATTACATAACTCGTTGCTAGATTGCCGACGTCGTGGATATTAGGTAAGGAAGACAGTTTAACAATGCAGACATGTTTCCCAACTATTATACTAAATTATTCACAAATTGTGCCTTCTCCAGCTCTTCGTCATTTGCATTCTGCCTCAGACTCCATATCAGTCCTCGAAACGTTTTGGAGGATATTCAATCGAAAAACGCATTGAATATGTACCTAAGAAATTACCAACGGGCACAAACTAAGCGCCGAATTCTATGTACATTAATTAAGAAACTAAGTAAAGAAAAACTTAGGAAAGAAACAACGAGAGACGACAAACTAAAGAAAACTAAGCAAGAATAGCGAGAGACAGCAGGGGGGTCTGCGCAACTTAAAGTCGGAAAAACTTTAACTCTTCAGTAAATCTGGGCATGTAGTGTAGTTGGTTATCGCGTTCGCTTCGCATGCGAAAGGTCTCCGGTTCGATTCCGGACTTGTCCATTGTTGTATTGATCTGAAGATTTTTTTTGCTTCGCGCTGCATTAATTATTCTCTGGTCGTTTGCTGTGTAGTTATATCTTTTTGTTTTCACTCATGCAGTTTGGAAACCGAAGGAAACCTACATTGCGACCATAAGCTTTTACAGAAAATCTGCCGTATCACACAGAGTTCCCAATATTCGTATGGCGTAGCCAGAGAGACACATGAGCGACTACCCTAAACCGCAATTGCGGTTTCGTTCTAATGGGCAAAGACAGGTTTCAAAATCTAAAAAATGGGCAAGATTATAATCTATTGATTGGGCATCCAATATTTAAAGTGCCTACAAATCAGATATTCTTACGAAGTGTTGTTTTGTCGTTTGTTTGCTGTCGCTTACTACAGTATTAAAGATGAGCATCAACAAGCCACTTGCCACCAGAGTAAGGAATATGCATAAACTATCAGTTTGGCGGACACTAGATCCAGAGGTGTGTGCAATATCCAGCTATAGCGTGCAAGGACCACAGCTTTCTTTATAGTTACAATCCCGCTGCAACCAATTTCCCAATAGTATACATAGTAGATCTAAAGATACATAAATGAAATTCCTTCAAACTTCGTAGCTTATATTATTATGCAAAATTTGTTTGTTCAAATACCCTTCCTACGCCATGCTGCATATTCATCAAATTCGTCATCGTCATCGTCATCGGTCTCGGTCTCCTTCTCTTGCACTTCTCCATCCTCGGTATTTGTCAGGCCTCGATTACTGCGGATAAGCTTGCCATTTTCCTTAAGTCGAAGCTTTTCGCGCATCTCTTTGAGCTTCAACACTCGACTCTCTAGAGTCTTCTGCTCTTCAAACTGATCTTGTAGTTCATCCATAATCCCCTCCATTTCATCATCTTCTCCTTTTCCTCGGTGAGTATCCGTTGATAATTGTCCCGTAATGACAGCAGTGGCCTCTACGACTGTACCCGCCTGGACCTTAGCGATGTCTTTCTGGAAGGCAGCCCATTCTGCATCAAGGTCAAACGCAGTTTCGGCTTTTGATTTGTCTGCTATGGGGTTGTCAGTCGATTGTTGCCGAGGAGCGTCAAAAAAATCTGACGGAAGCTGTGAACTTGAGTCGCTCTTTTCACGCCGTAGTCGCTTGCTATGGTCTCCTTGAATTTCTGCTTGAGCACTCGCATCCAATTGTCTCTTAGCTCTCCGCTGCTGTGCGACTTTGTACTTTTGTACAGCATCACGATGCGTTGGGGTGCCAATGTGAGCCTCCCATTGCCTTTCGTTTGAAATGGAAAGATCGCAGACAGAGCATTTCAGTTTATCGTTTACATATTTCGCAAAAGGATGCTCCACCTTCTTCGTAGCTTCTGCTTGCCGGAATAAGGCGCGAATACTTGTCGTCATCGATTGTTGTCATCAAGTGCATTCCAGCGCAAAGTGCGGCCGATGAAGTCGACTTGCAACCTTGACTCGCTTTCATTCCCAGACTGTAATATACGGTATATTGAGCACCGCAGTATATGTCGGCACGTGTTCGTAGCAAAAGTTCTATGCATGAATTTCCTAAGTCATTGCGTCCTGAATGATCCCTAGAAGCCACTTTTATCATTATTTCGCAAGCACAAAACCTATTGCAATCATATTAGCAAATTTACTATCAATCAAGCGACTGCGTTGTATGAACGCTGCGCATATTTCATGATCCTGACTCTGACTCAGGACGAGCGTGTGCTGAATTTATTTACGAGCTGCTTGCGCGCTGTAGTAGAGTAGTGTAACGTAGTCATTACGCAACTCTAGAGGCACTTAGCTCTCCCTATAAAGGATACAGAAGCTTAGAAACTACTTCGCTTCTATAAATACTTCGGTTGCAGCAGGCCCAGTGCCAGCCGTGAGCCCTTGAGCTATATTCAGATCGCGAACGCGTCAAGCCTGTTCGGACACGGATACGAGCACATTATTATTGCGCTATCAACAATCGGCGAAGCGAACAGTTGTAATGGCGTCAAGTATGCACAATTCACTGATCTATCATTTGAGGTTTTTATATTAATTAAAAATTGTAGCTGAACCACGGAGGTCGAGTCGCACCACCAAGGGCCAACATAGTCAAAAGTTGACGGAAGAGGTCGAAGAAGCGGATAAGCAGCAAGCAATTAGCACATCAAAGAGTGCAAATAGAGAGCAATCCGAAAGGAAAAAGCCCAAGCCAAAATCGCAACGGGCAAAGAAGCAAAACATGCCAGAAGAAGAGGAAGAGTCGTATGTGCGTTGCGTGTGCGGTCTCGAGGCCACTGATCCAGAAGACGACAAGCCACTCATGGCACAATGTGAAGAGTGTCTCTGCTGGCAACATCCTGAGTGCACAATGGGGATAACGGATGAAGCTGAAGTTCCGGATCAATATTTTTGCGAGCGCTGTCGGCCTGAGCTTCATGAAGCATACTTCAAGAGGACTGCACACCAAGAACCAACTGCGGCACCAGGTTTCAACGATCCCGACTATAAACCGGAAGCCGTCGTCCAGACTCTGAAATCAGCTAAGCGAAAATTACCGCTCTCGCCTTCGTTCGGAATACCTGAAGTGAGTTCGTTGTTATCAATCATGCACTGAGCATATTTTAGGATATGAGATCTGACACGGAATTACAGGCGCCGCTGAAGCTACAGAAAAAAGACGGTCATGATTCGGTTCCTGATCAGACCGATGCATCTACTTCAGAGAAGTCCGTCCAGCAAGAAGACAAGCCACAAATATCAAGACCACGGTCAGTCTCTAGCCATCCGCCACTTTCAAGAAGAAAGTCATCAACTGCAACTCTTCCGAAAGCCGTATCTCTGCCACAGAAAGTAGATCACATTGATGATTTAGCTGATAACGTTCGGAAATCAGTTGCAAGTGGGATACTGAAGCTGCTCGAGAAGGCGGCCGACGCAGCTGTCGCCAATGATGCACTTAAACTAAACGAGGGGACCACGGCACTGGAGTTTGCCGAAATGCTCAGTTTAGAGATTGAGTACTCTATGTACGAGCAACTCGCAATAAAGACGGAGAAAGATGTTGGACACAAATACCGAGATAAATTCCGAACTATATTATTTAATCTAAAAGATATCAAAAATTCACTGTTACGTCAGAGAGTCCTATCTGGCGAAATCACACCAGACCATTTAGTTCGAATGGCGCCGGAGGACATGATGAATCCGGAGCTTCAAAAGTTGGCAGAAGCTGTGAGAGCAGAGAGTATATCACAGTCTATCCTAAAAAAGGCTGAAGCTCCTCGAATACGAAGAACGCACAAAGGAGAAGAGTTTGTCGGAGATGTCGACCCTATGGGCACATTGCCGGAGAATGCGCCTGAAGGAGAGGAAGAGAACAGTTCACAAGTCAATCTTGATGCGGCAACGCGAGTTTCTCATAATGCCAATGATGAGGCATATTCTCGCAGATCAGTATCACCTTCGACAACTGTCGAGCAGCAATATTCAACTGGGCTAAAATCAGATGATCACGGCCGAGAGAGATCTCAGTCATTACAGCTGTCTGACGCTGGAGCGAAGAATTCGGAAGACGGAAGGTCTGGGACGCCATCAGCTTGTTCTGCAGGTGCAGACAACGCAGACTTCAATATAGATCAAGTGTGGAAGTCAGTGAATAGTCCACCTCCTACTGAGAAGGACTCCCACATTACGTCCTCGAATGCGGTTCAACCGGCTTCTCCACAACCTCAGGGTCGTCAGGTTATTGACGAGGACATTGACAGACTTATTAACGACGACTTGGGTCATAATGAGGCGTCTGAAGATGATATTGACGACCATAGCTACTCGCCCATGCTGGAAGCAACAGTTTCTGTGATATGGGAAGGATTGATCTCAATGGCGAGTGTGTCCGAGTTTATGGGAAGTGCTGTTCAAGTCGGAGGTCCTTTGTTCGATGGTGAGGTCAGACGATGGCAGGATGTGATCGCACCATCTATTGATATTGACGGGCGTCTGTCAAAAGATACGGCGGCGAGCTACTTGTCAGAAGTATCTTCGACGAAAGACTTAGTTGCCGTATCATTCATGGTAAAGGATCCAAATTTAAAAGAACAAGAACGTGCTTTTACCAGGCTCTTCGACTATTTCAGAGGGAGAGATAGATATGGTGTGATTCGGAATAAGTTGCCAAATGTCAAAGATGCATATCTAGTACCTCTACTCCCCGCCGATCCGCGACCTGACTACATGCATATGATAAGCTCAATCAGCATCCCTCGCATCATCACAATGCCAATGCTTCTGGGTATTTTTGTGATCAATAAGGTCAATACAGCAGCTCGAACCCCTTCCAGCGGCTATACAGATCGTCATACCAGCCTGGAATTGCACGTAGAATCTGATGAATATGATCCTACAGCAACTCCAAAAGTGCCGAGTGTCTCATCAGATGCATATGCTGGTGGACAGCCATGGTATCCACCTCTGTCAATGGAGACGTCGTCGTTTCCTTCATCGCCATCAGTGACCATTGCATCTCCAGAGGTAAATTTGCCGCCCAGAAGTACGGTTCACAATATCACAGATGCTCTACTGAGCCTTGGGCTGCCACAAAATGAGGTGGCTTTGTTGCAGAAAATTCTTGAAAGCAGTCCTGAAATCGGTCAAGATCCATCCCTCATCAATGATCCAAATTTCTTGATCAAAGTTGTACAGGATTATCAGAGAAACCATCCCTGAGGGTGAACAATTGTTTTGTACTGATACATGTATGTTTGCCGCAGGAAACGGTCTGTTCGTATTAGCGTGTTTGTTTGTATAGTATGGGGTTTTTCTATGGCTTGATATTACCGGTAGCGCAGCCTTCATTGCAGTTTTCGTATGTCTGTACAGTATAATATGTCTACATATAATTCAATTACTTTTTGTCCAGGATTTTATCCTTTGCATCTGTGTCTTCTTTGAGCTTGTCACTTTCTGGAGGTTTGTCGCCTTCGGGAGCTGTTTTCCGAAATACAAATAATGCT